AGCACTTTTATTGGGAGGGGTGCGAGTCAACATCGCTGGTCTGATTGGGATTGGAGGGTATTTCTACTCGTATGAGTGGCTTTATACACACGGTCCATGGCCCTTCCGCATTCGTGACCCGAGTTTGAACGGCTGGAAAATGGCATGGGGTGACGGTCAGTCATGCTACATGGCCCGTGCCGTCGCGAGCATATTTCCTCCGCTAGGTTACGCCTTCTTTATGGGGCGCTGGAAAAAGGCAAATTTTTGGTTTACTTTGTTGCTCGCGGCGGGTCTCCAGTACGAATACGCACGGCAGTATATCTTCTCGGGTAATCGGCTCTTTTACAGTTTCGAGGCGAACAAGGAGATTAACCGTCAGGCCAACTGGGGATCGCTGATGCCGGTCTTAGCGCACCGCGTAGATCCCGACACAAATCGGAACGCTAGTGCTGCACAGTTTCGCTATTTTCGCATCACCAGTGGCACAATGCAGGACACCATATGGGAGAATGCGGTTCATGAGAATCTACCACTGGCACGCTTTGCTTTGCGGTTGCCAAATCCCTACTTCAACTGGCAAAAGGCCCCGCAGGCGTATAATGACAAGCCGTATCTTAGGAAAAATGATTTATGGGAGATGCCACAGGTTCTGAACGCACAGATGCGTTCGTCCACCATGGACAAGCCCTCCGCCAAACCAATGGCGTGAGCCAGGTGAGCATACAGAGAAAAAAGGGGGAGTGAGGGATCAAGCAAGCGAAAAGAATTATCTTTGAGTCATTGATTTGATTACTTATTTTTTCTTTTTCTTTGTTTTGTTTTTTTACCTTGCTTTTTTAAAATAATTATAATAATATATATTTATACTTTAGTTATTTATTTATTTCCTTAAAAGACATGGGAGGATAAGGCAAACAGACAGAGAAAAGGAAAATTTATCAGGCCCAATTGAGGACTGTGTATTTGTGTTCCTGTTGATGTTGGCTTTATATAGATATAAATATATATATTTATTTATGGGGATAGGGTTTTTTTTTTTTTTTTTTTTAGCATTTTGTGATGGTTAGTAGTAGTGGAGGGCAACAGCAAGAGGAGGAGGGGTGAAATGGAGAGGACGTGGGATGCGGAAAGGGAGAGGAGCGACATGCGGGATTTAGCAAAAAAAAAAAAAAAAATAATTCTTTTTTATTTAAAAAAAGTATATTTATATTCCATCTTTTGTTGTAATGGGAGGGCATGCGGGGAGTGGTGGGAATAGAAGCAACTGTGAAGAACACGATGGGCGGGAGGAAGAAAGGCGGGGAGAGGATGGGGGGGGGAAAAAAAAAGAGGAGGGGAAGGGGAGTAGACCA